CACACACACACACACACACACACACACACACACACACACACACACACACACACACACACACACACACACACACACACACACACACACACAAAGAAAAGAAGAAAGGAACATGTTTGTCGTCTTTTGTGATCCATTACCCTCGTGCACTGTACCTACCATGCATATTAACTATAATAGAAAGCGTAAAAGTAGTCGACTGTCAAATCGTTCAAGCTTCTGACGCAGGTTTTCGTATAACTCGTGTGCTGCCCTAAAAGTACACTAAACCACCAGACTTCATTCACAGTGTAGTTCATTGATATTAGGAGATTAAATTCCCGATTTCTTTATTTAATAATAAATTATATATTTTAAGTTAACCTAGGTTTCATTTCGACCAAATGTAACTATTCTTGGGCCTGAAATGTTAACTATAGGAAACTGGTCTGTTTCATTTTAGTGGTTCTCGCTTGCATTAAGAGGAACTATTCACAACTGGCTGGACGTATGGTGGTTTTGGGCACTTGACATTACAGATTCCGGTTTCGATTTCTATCTTCTTACTTTTGGGTTTTACCTTCAATATAAAGCTTAAAATTAAGGTTAAATCTTAACAAAAACAAAAGGCATCTTTTTTTCACCAGCATCACTATCACTATTGTGCGACTATTAGTTTCCAGATGCATCTTCTACTGTTTCCTCCATGTTCCCTATATGGTGCGACACCACTTATGATGGGCACAGTTGTTTGAAAGTGTGTGTGTGTGTGTGTGTTATAGGATTCAGTACAAATGTTAAGATATTTCATAATTAAGGTTCTGTAGATTTTGGAAGTATAAACATTAATTCTAAAATACAAATCCATTAAAAACTACTACTTTCGATTGGTGATCGTGGGATATGTTTCAAAAGGTTTAGGACCTTTATTGTCAGAAACTGGTTTCTACTGAAGAATTTAAACGACCTGAATGATCACTCACTTGGAGCGATATCTCTTATCAACAAAAATAACATATTAGACCTAGTGTTTAAAGATAAAAGTGCTTGGTAGGGCGATCTATGCATATAAGTGGACATCGTCTTGTGCCAAAGGCTATTGTTTAGGCCTTTTAAGGAATAAAAATTCGTGACAAAAATAGCCTGGTTGAAATTCATGTAAAATTGTGTGCATAAAGTCCCCATTCCATGACTACAATTATTCACAAGAAAGTAAAAGCATTGTTAATATAATAGATCTGTCTAATGTGAATTAGCTGTGAGATTTGGTGTTACAGGCTACTGTTACTAGGGGCAGCAGTGCGTGCATTGCAGGACATTTGGGAATAGAAACGCTATTGTTAATTTTCTTTTCCCATGGTTAAAGAATGAATTAAAGTAGTTTATTTTTTACTGTGTTGCACGTTAAGTTGTTGGAGTGAGTGAAAAGGCTCGTGATAATGTAAGGATGGTAGATTGTTCAAGGAATGCGTGTTTTTTTTCTAAATATACACAACATGCAAATGAAACTAAATCCATATATTTGAGAAATTTTCGTATTACAGTAAGAAGATGGAATATATTTCTGAATGGACGTCTAAAAAGCATCGGACTGAACATGCATATTTTGAATAATAATAATTACTAGCAAATGCAAGTACATATACTGAAATGTGAAATAACTGAAACTATTAATTTTGTAACATTTTTAAAGTGATTGTATGTGTGAATTTTGCAATTGTTTTTGAGAAAAAACATTTTCCATTTACGTGTTTTTGTGCTTGTATGTATTTCTCTCTTGGTGTATATCTCAACAAACCAATAGCAATTCCATTTGCTTATGGTAGATGAATATATTTATCACCAACAGCATTCTAACTATTTACGACGATTTTACAGCAATAAGCGATATTTACGTGTTTTTTCTCGCTTCTGTAGGTACTTAACAAAATGATGCGAAATATTTTTTTTCCTTTGGTATGATTTGCTAAAAGAAGTCTTATTACAGATTAAAAAGAACAAAAAAAAATCTTTTGACAATGTAATTCCAGGTAAATCCATATGGAGGAAGTAGTTATTATGGGAGTTTTATAAAAAAATGTTGTAATTAGACTTCATTCCAGTGCCGAATTCAATTGGAAAATCAGTAATCATTATTTCAACGAGGAAAAATTATTCTATATTTAGCTACGGAAGTGAAAGAGGAATACAAAGAAGCTTTAATCAAGGGTCTACCATTTCCCATCCTCACCATAGCCGAGTATTTAAGCCAGGATTTAGAAGGGTTCTGTTGGGGACGGAGTTATCGAACAGCAGGATATTACTCCTATATTCTCTTGTGGTGAGTTGTATAATTTTGTTTCAATACAAGAAAATGGAAGCTTTGTATCCAAATACTTGACTTTCTTCCTAGTTATATAACGTTATCGATCCAACTTTAAGTATTTCATTTAATAACGATAGGTTTTCAATTTTCTTGAACTATTTCGAAAAATCGCAGCCCCCAGACAAAATATTCATGTAAACAAAATAAGTTAAGAAAAACCAGGTTACTACGAAAATTTAGCGCCTTCTGTTTTGTAATTTTTTTTCGCATATCTGAAGTGCTTGAACACAAAATGGTTTGGAATAGTGTTTACCGTTATAAAAATAGAGAACCCTGAATTTTCTGAGCTAGGCAGTTGCTGGTCATGTCACCTTCTTTTGATCATGAATATTTTATCTTAAACTAATTTTATGATGTATCATAATTTACTTTTATTAGCCCAGCAGCAGTCTGTTCAAAATGGGTAAGTCCTATTGGAGTTAGAATGTGATAGTACATTATATAACCAAAGTAACCAGATGACCCTATTTTAATATGCAATACGTAATAATTTCGTATTAAATCTCGCCAAAGCTGATCTCAAAACAGCTAGCTTTTCAAAATTTCAATTTCTCTGTAAGAGACGATGATGCTGGTTGTGCCTGCAAAAAAAAGGATTCCGCTTTGACGATTGGACCTCCCATTTTGCTTGTGAAGTTTATGTATTCACTTGTATAGTCTTCTGCTGAATGGCCTTAGCTTCTAAAATTGGATTATAGTACTTTTTTTAATGTGTAAGTTGTTTTTTTTGTCCGTTAATTCATGTATGTATGTGTATGCGTATCTGAAATTTTTGTAACTGCACTTCGTAGAATGCGTAAGTAATAAAAACTTTAAATCTAGGACTTAAAATTTACAATCCCTGTACCAATTCCAAAAGAAATCTGTAAGAGGGAAAAAACTTAAACGAAACCGTGTAGTAGATATTCTTTTGCTTTTATTTTTGGATATTAATCTATTTAAGGTGTAGCACATGAAGTATGTTAGCATCAATAATTGGTACCTGTGGCAAACAATCTTACAAGAAATCAAGTTAACCGTTAGGGAAGTGTCACAGGATATTAATCTATTTAAGGTGTAGCACATGAAGTATGTTAGCATAAATAATTGGTACCTGTGGCAAACAATCTTACAATAAATCAAGTTAACCGTTAGGGAAGTGTCACAGGTGCTTGCAAGACTGAAAGGACCCGAACTGTGTTTTTCATAAAATTGGACGTTCACTGTTGTCGGAAGACTCATGCGCATCAAAATAGTAGGATTAAAAGTCTGGGCATCCCACCCACCCCTGAACTAAAGATAGTGTGTATGAAAGAAATAATTTATTGCATATTGACATATCTCATTGACACAGACTAACAAGGTTCGAATAATAATCCAAAATGTCTGTCTATTGGCCTTCATTGTCATGACATACGATGATACGTCTCAAAGTGCGATGTGACATCCTCCTTAGCATATTAGGGGTGACCTTAGTGAAACTTTCTACATTCTATTTTGTTTCAAAGCTTCATTTGTTTCATATCGTTCCTTTGCCACAATCATTACGAAAACGCGAAAAACTAAATTGATATGATCTTTAAATAAGACTCTTTGCCCACACTGTACAAGTTGCATGGTATTTCATGGTTTGATTAAAATATTTTGCTTTACTATATAAGAACAATTTGTCGAGTTATAGATGATAAAATCGTCATTAAAATGTTATGTAGAGCAGAACTGTATGAAAACTTGACAGATTGGAAGTCCGGCTGGGGGGGGGGACGTGAAAACAAGGCTGTACATGTCTCTACTAAATGAAAGGGGGGAGTAGAAAGTGGCTAGCACTTTCCTCGCGACGAAACATTGCTATGCAAATAGCGTGGTATTGGGGGGGGGGACTCCTTCACGGTTCAACTTTTCTCTGTGTTGTTAATTAAATTGGGGGGGGGGGTAATTTTTTTACCCACAAAATCAACGAAGAAAGGAAAGTAGAATCAACAACAAAAACAAGTGCAGGTTGTTTGCGACGACATTACAGTGACATAATTTCTCGCTGGTTTAGTACCAATATTTATTTTTATTTTATTTTTGCTACTTCCAAGTATGGGTTGTTTTTTTCAAAAAATTCGTTATTTCATGTGAGGCATGAATTTATTGGTGCCGGTGCGTGACTGGTTATTTAGTAAAAATCTTGAGTTCTTTATTCAAAGTTTTATGAGCCAAGATGATCCCAACATATACTTCCATGCTCTGACAGGATCTGATTAAACATGAAATTGGACTAAAAACTTTGTATACCATAGATCAATGGAGATTAACGTAACTTTTAATGCAAAGATACTTCACTTCGCTTATTTGGGGGAGGGGCTAGAGAGTGTTTAGCTCCACAAAATTATGATTCTAGCTCCCCTCCCTCTCACCCAAAAAAGAAAAAAACTGTGTTGGTCTTAAAGATTTTGGTCCCCCTCATTTTTCAGTATGGAAGTGATTCTATTTTTTAATTCATTTTCATTTAAACGTTAAGTTTTTTTTTTATTCTAAACACTTAACAACAGGAGCAAAAGCACACTTGAATATTTTATCATTGAACATTATAGTGAGTGTTATTTGAAATACATTGTTAGAAGTTAATTCCTCATAGGTAAGGCAATGCTTTGCATTTTCTAACAGGCCGTAGCCTATCTATGAAAAGTGCTATGTAATGTTTTTTATTCTTTACAAAATTAATTGTATTCAATAAATAAATACATACATACATGTACCATTGCTTTATCTGTACTGTAACGAGTGTTTTACCTGCTTTTTCGTTATTCGCGAAACCGTTCTTTTATAATTGGTGAATTTCGTGAGTAGTAAAATATTCGAACTTAAGGTCTCTACCTACATTTAGATTTATTTGTTTTACTTTGCTCTGTAAATTTCTAGGTACGTGATGTTGCAGATCTTATTATCAAAAATCAGTCGGGCGTGGCTAGTATTTAGGGCACGGGATTGTGAATCTAAGGATCCATGTCTCGCATAAAATCGCGCTTTGTTTAGGGTAAGGAGTGAATTATAAGAATGACAGTCAAATTTCCCTACTCGATTAGAGTAGCACAGGAGTATGTGGACATTGCTGTTGACTAGCTGCCTTCCCTCTCGTCTGTCGGTTCGAAATTGGAGACTGCTAGTATGTTCAAAAATGTTGTCCACTACAAATATCGGGCAGAAGTAAAACACGAGAACTGGTCGCAAAATATTTCCAATCGGTGTAATTAGAATTAAACAAAACACTTCCGTGTTATATTAGAACTATAAACAAGCTTAGTGTGAACATTACGATTATGCTTTAGCTTAAGGCCAGCCATAAGATATATTGTTTTATGGGGAATCCCTTGAAAGTAAATGACAATATACCTTGAACAGGTGAAATACTGAAAAATCTGACATCTAAATACCCAACACCATACAGTTTCAGATCGGAGTCAACAAATGTGAGGGTTAAGATGAAGAAACCCTCTTTATTTTAATATCCTGTTGTGTATTTTAATAGTCAGTTGTTGCATTACACTATCTTTCAACACTGCTTGATTTAGAAATACAAAATAATTGCAACTTTTCACGCTGGGAGGAGGGATGGAAAGAATCGAAGTTTGTCATGTTTTCAGTGCAAAGCTCCCAAGGGGCGTCTCTGTTCTGTGACCATCGTGGTGTTTGAATCTTGAATCCTGGTGTGATAAGCTAAAAAAAAAAAAAATCTTAATTGATAGACGCAGGAACTCGAGAATATTTGCTATTTTTCTATATCTTCTTGAATTTACTTATTTATCATGAAATTTGGCAAATACCGAAAATGTTTTTCTTAGGAAAAGGTGGATCGTCAAAATATTAATTACTCTGATTAACAATGCTATTTATTATAGTTTGCCATTTCATCATCTAAAATCCTGTGTTTGTTAATATTTGTTCCTAATGTTTCTCAATAGGACGGCGTTTTCCTTGTGGCTGCTGATGAATATTCTGTTTTGTACAGTCCCGAGATATGGAGCTTACTGTATGCAGCTTATGGGCTGTGTTATGATCCTCACGAACGCCATCTATGCTCTTCTTTTACCAAGGAAACCATTAGTCATTCCTTTTGAGGGAGGACTTCTCAGGTTTTATTACGGGTGGTGTTTTTGGCTGGTGCTTGCAGCTGGTATGTTCATTTTTGTTGTAGAGTTAGCTTCTGAAATAAATGTGCCATTTTTTTCTTTCTTTATATCTATATAATATTGTACGCTGGTTGTAAAAAATCATTAAACCTTTTTTTGAAAGAAATGTTCTTTAATTGGTTAACCTACATTAAAAATAACATAAATTGATTAAGGTATTTATTTTTCAATAGCAGTTACACTACTTGTAGCCCCCCCCCCACGGTGACTTAGCGATAAGACCTGATGTTTTAAAACTCTAAAAACTGGGTTTCGATATCTACGGTGGATAGACCACAACTAGCCCATTATGTAGCTTTGTAATTAACAATAAACGTGTGTGTGTTTACATATTTTTAACTTTCGACTATACTAAAATAGTACTTTTCATTTATGGATCGAAATCAGTGCAAATAAAGAACTTGAACTTTGGAGTCTATGCAAATTATAACTAACTTAAACTTGATTTACTGGTATAATGCAACGCTAGACTTGCATGTTTAGAATAATAACCGGAAATCAAATTTTAAGGTTCAACATAATTACCTTCGTAAACTGTATGAAGTTTTACTTGTCAGACTTCAACTTTCTGATTGAGTTGAATCGCGTTGAAACAGCATTTTATTTCTTTTTTCTTTTGTAAGAAATTCTAATACACTAAGATTAGTAGTGTACATACTTGTTTATAAAGCAGTTTCTCAGAAAAGCAAACTACAAAACTGGTTTAAATTATTTGTGGAATCGTTCGTGTCTAAGGGATATCTGATTTCAAAGTGTCTCTAACAAATAATGGTCAAAACTAGTTCCATAAAAGTAATCATTTAAAAATGCTAAACCTAACGCTTTTCGCTTGTTGCTAAGCGACAGTGTTGCAAAATATATTTAGAATATATGTAAGCCTTTAAGGAGTATTATACAGCTCTATGTAGATTTCATTAACGTCTTTATAATCTGAACTGCTACTCATTAAATTTAACTAAGTAAGAACAAATAAACAATCATATGAAAGACAAAAGTAACTCTACTTCACCTTCAGTGGATGAGAATGAGCTGTTTGGTTGATATTAACTTCAGTTAGATCTTTCAACCCAAATATATAAAAAATAATGGCTGATAGATATTGCTTAAGCCGTAAAAATGTTTTCATGGCGTTTTCCTTACTTTATCTCTTATGAACGTTCGTAATGTTTTGTCATAAATGTGAACTGATATTGGTCTTGTTTATTAAGCTATGTAATGAATGGACAATCTATCCTCTGCGAGGAATCGAACCTCAAATTTTAACATTGTAAGTTCGTAAATTTTCCGATGACCCGCCAGGGGGGGACTTCTTGAAAGCAGTTGTAAGTGTAACTAGTATCCCGCCCTCTATAATGCATTTCTAGGAAAGTACAAAAAATAAGAAAATAAATCGGTAACAACAAGATATTGGACACTAGTTTGTTTCAAATTTGATATGATTGAAAGAAAAAAAATAAAGATTAAAGACACACCAAATAAGAAAATAATCACTATCTACGTCTTGTCCGACTTAAACTAATGAATTTTTGGTTCATATGAAATGAAAACTAAAGTTCCAGTATGTCACTGGTACTGTATGAATACGACGTATGCGTTGGGGTGGCATCATTTAATGGTACAATATTTGTATTATCTATGAATTCAAGCAAACTCCTGCCGTTTGCATTTTTCTTGCATCTAAATAATATGTTTGCTATTGAGGTCGCCTATGAAGATTGTTTGGGTTGTATGAATGGATATTGCTTAATAGGTTGACATCTATATCCTTTGATGGTAAGCAGTAAATGCCTATTACCGTAACGCACATGGTATTATCAATATAAACTTCAATTGCTATACACTCGTTTGTGGTATTCATTACCACTTCTTTTACCGACAGACCAATTTGTATAATAATAGTATTCTTCTATTTTGGTCACGTCTATGTAATTTTATCTTTTTTTTTTTATAACTTATTATCCTCGTATTTTAAATATTTTATACAATCAAGTTTCGCTTATAACTAAAACATCAGGTTTCACTTGTTTGGTGATGTCTTCAATCTCGTTTCTTGGAAGCAAGTGCACCTTGGATGTTTGTTATACTATGAATTTATTTTTAGTAATGATCCTGTGTTGGATGTTTTTTTGTATATTTTGCATTATTATTGTGATGATGACGAGTATGTCGACGCAGCTTTTTCTTTGAGATGGTTTTGAATATTCTACGATAAGATCTGTGAGTATGCTTTTCAGAGCGTTCAAGAGTGTATGTTCTGTTTCCTGGGCTACTGCAGCTGGTCTCTGAGTTCTCTCTCTCTCTGCATTTTATCGGCATTTAGGTCTTTGAGACCAGAGAGGGTCAGGCTCGTTGACCTCTTCCTCCCTCCTGTACGATGTTGCATGATTTCTGTGGAGATACAACATGAGGGTCAGAGTAATCTGCACTTACTCCGACCCCTTTCAGGGCAACGTCCATGTAGGTATCAACATTTACATTCATGTGACTGTATACACCTTCGCTTAGTTCGATATTACATTACGACCAGTTCAGAATGTTACTCTCACATTTCACTAGCTTCAATCCTAATTTAGGAACACTTCACATGAATACCCTTTTAAAAGTTTTTAACTTAGTTTAAAACTGATGTATGTTATTCAGTCTAGAATTATTAGGTGGCCTGATTAATTCTTTATATCTAAAATATATATTGAGTGGCGAGATGTGCTTAGGCCTATTTCCATAATGTACGTAGTAGCGGTAAAGTTTTTATGTAACGTTTTGTTAAAGTAATTTAAAGAATTATGCAAGAGTCTGTCGGCGATTGTTTGCATATTTATGTAATTGTGCATGAATTTGGATGATGTGCTGCGTGTTACTTTTTAGGCTGTTGTGAGTAATGAGTTTTGTATTGTCTGTAATTTATTTTTCTGTTTGTGTTATGTTTATCCATATTCTATTACTGGCTGAATATGTTTTATATATTTTTATGATATTATCTGGTGTGGTTCCATGATTTTTGCCTATTAGACTTACTGCATAATTTGTTCTTTTCCAAACTTTAGTTAATATATTGTTATTAATGGTGTTAACCCATGTCAATTTCGAGTCATAGGTTAAGCCGAGAAATTTAACTGAAGTTATGGTCTGGAGAAGTGTCCCATTCATATATATATAATCTTCGGTGGATTATTTTTATGCTTTGTTTGTTTTGTAAATATTACTAGTTGGTTTTGGGGGACATCTATTTTTATTCTATTTTTGGCAATATTCTTCTATATTGTTTAATTGTGGTTGAATATTTCTTGCTGATATAGATGGGGTGGGAACACTTTTCCAAATCACACCATCGTCTGCGAATTGAGATGAAAAATACTGTGTTTGGGTCTTTTTAGTGGCATATTGCTTATGTACATGATGAATAGAATAGGGCTAACTACCCCTCCTTGGGGGACGCCTACCTCTGGAGTAAATTACTCCGAGTAGG